CTGAGCCAGCCAGGCACCCCTTGATTTTCTTATTTTGCAAGATGGCAGAGAAAGTCTAGACAGGATAGATACAATCCACTCTTAATATTTCCAGGACTAATTATTCCAGCCATTCATTATCATAGGCCTTTGTTTCTTCTTTTCCTCTCTGCGGTTACCTGCCTTTGGTCATTTCAGTAAGATATTGAAAAATAGGGGGCGGCACCTGGGTGGCTCCGTTTATTAAGCATCTGACTCTTTATTTTGGCTCTGGTCATGATCTCACAGTTTGTGGGATCGAGCCCCATGTCTCTCTCTGCACTGACAGCACGGAGCCGGCTTGGGAATCTCTCTCTCCGCCCCCTCCAACCCGTATGTGGGCTCTCTCTCTCAAAATAAATAAAATAAACTTTAAATAATAGTCTATGTTACTGGGAAAGTAGATAGATGACTAAGGGAAGAGTTTGATGACACAGAATATACATGAATTTTTTTATTGTCAGCAAATTTCTACTATTCAGAGAAAAATGGCTATACTGTTTCTATATTTTTTTAAGTAAAATACTTAATATATAATGTTGATGGCAATTTGTTTTTTTCTCCTGCAGCAGTCTTTTCCGTGTGTTATTTTGATTCAGGCACATAAAGGGATAATTCTAAGCAAGGAGAGCTATCTGAAAGTTCTTAGATTTAAGCTATAATTAGCCCTTGCTTATTTCAAAAATGGCCCTTTCTGTGCATTATATAAATAATTGCAAAACTAATTAATCATGTGTAACCCTTGTTTTCTAAGGTCGTAACAGCACAGGGATAGTTGAGGGTTGTATATGAGTTACAGTTAAGGAGACACTTGGTGATATGTCCAACAGAGACTTTTCTGACTTCTATTTTCCTTCTTTTGCTGCTTTTAATTTTTAGGGATTGCACACAGTGTGGCGGGGCCTGTAGGATTTGGGGAATCGATAAAGCTGAAGTCTTTCACTAAGTCCCTGCTTGACACCACCGTAAACATCCCCTCTGTGGTGTATCACTTCTTTGTGGCCACATAAAGTTCTGTGATCCCAGCCACGCTCAGCTGGCCTCCCCCCCGTCTGGTAAAAAGTGGTCTTTTTGCTGAATGAGCATTTCTTCAGCTCTACCCAGCTCCCCCTTCCCATAGGAGGGTAGAAGAGAAGATGTCTAAGCAACCTTTCAGCTTCGTGATTATATAGTTTAATGTAGACAATATATGTGAGGAATGTTTGAAATCTGACCTCTTAGCATCTTTTTTTTAAGTGATGGGTTTTATTTTTTTAATCTTTTAAAAGTTTTTATTTATTTATTTTTGAGAGAGAGAGACAGAGTGGGGGAGGGGCAGAGAGAGAATCCCAAGCACTGACAGTGCATAGCTGGATGCAGGGCTCGAACTCACGAACCGTGAGATCGTGACCTGAGCCAAACCCAGGAGTCAGATGCTTAACCTACCGAGCCACCCAGGCGCCCCAATGATGGGTTTTTAGAAATATCTGTACTAAATAGAAGGAGCTAAATATTCATTTCAGTCCCCTCGCTAGTAGTGAGGTAGGAGTTTGGGAGATGAGTGTAAGGAAGGCAGATTCGACAGAAGAGAATGGGTGCGTCATGTTGGAGCCAGCTTCACGGTGCCTCCTGGAGAATGGAACTGTAAGGAAGCCGCGGGCCCACTGAGCATATGCTCCTGACTTGCTCAACAATGGAAAAGAAAAAAGAGTGAGAGAAGGAAGGAGGAAGTTGCCATGAGAGATGGGACAATGCTGCAAAGGAGCCGGGAAATAGGAATTTGGGACCCTCTTCCCTAAATCAGGATATTTCCAAGAAGTACTAAAGACTATGGTAGTGCTAGGACTTAGGTTATTTTATTTTTTAAAGATTTTTAAAATGTTATTTATTTGGAGAGAGAGAGAGAGAACGAGCATGAGTGGGGGAGAGGGACAGAGAGAGGAAGAGAGAGAATCCCAAGCAGGCTCAGGGCTGTCAGCACGGAGCCCAATGAGTGACTCAATCTCACAAACCCTGAGATCATGACCTGAGCTGAAATCCAGAGTCTGACACTTAACTGACTGAGCCACCCAGGCACCCCAGGACTGAGTTATTTTAATTATTAGCTTGGGCAAGTTTCCACAGGTAGACTTTTTTTTTTTTTTTTGACTAAAGTTCTTCTCTGACTCATGGTACATATTTTTATTATTCTATACTGGCTTTATGTGTGAAACTGCCATTAATGCATTAGAGTTTTGCATATTGAATGAACTTCAGATATTCTGCAGAATAATTAAGTGTGGTTTAGAAAAGAACATAGACAGTCACGCAGATAACTTCTTCCTAAGGTGTCATTATCATTGGTTGCCATTAGCAGTTAGTCATTTTAAATAGATATTGATATCCACAGCTTTTAAAGTATTACAAATCTCTAGTCTTCAAAATGCGAAAGGGAATAGAGCTCAGATTTTTTGGTTTTGGCTGCTTAGATGCTGGTTGAATTTATTTTTTTTATTTTTTTATTTTTATTTATTTCTAGGAGAGAGAGAGAGAAACAGCGTGAGCAGGGGAGGGTCAGAGAGAGAGGGAAACACAGACTCTGGAACAGGCTCCAGGCTCTGAGCTGACAGTCAGCACAGAGCCCGACGCGGGGCTCGAACCCACGAACTGTGAGATCATGACCTAAGCGAAAGTCGGATGCTTAACCAACTAAGCCACCCAGGCGCCCCGACGCTGGTTGAATTTAAACTAAAAGCCATACGATTTCAACTTTTCCTATTTTCCAGTCTACTAACAGCTCAGATGGACTCTAAAATCATTGAACGACATGAGGCCAGATTAGCCGGTGACATTTTAATTTTAGTCTTAGATGCTGTCAAATGCTGATGAACAAATGCTTGACCAAAGCAGCCATAAAAAAAAAAAAAAAAATTAGGAGACAGATGGGGGTTTTTGAAAACTTACTAGATAGTCATTAAAGAATTATTGTTAATTTTTAGGTGAGATAATGCTATTAGAGGCATATATATTTTTTAAATATTCTCTATGCCCAGCGTGGGGCTAAACTCACAACCCCAAGATCAAGAGTCTCATACTCAGGGCGACTGGGTGGCTCAGTCGCTGAAGCATCAGACTTTTAATTTTGGCTGAGGTCATGATCTCATGGTTTGTGGGGGCAGGCCCCAAGTTGGGCTTTGGGCTGACATCGCAGAGCCTGCATGGGATTCTCTCTCTCTCTCTCTCTCTCTCAATCCCTCTCTGCCCCACCCCACTTGTACACACACATGCTCTCTATCTCAAAAATAATTATTAAAAACTTTTTTAAAAACGACAAACTGTAAAGGGTTAAGATTTTTGCATGTTAGAAAAGCCTGGTCTTTTAAAATTCACGAATATAAGTTAAAGTTATGATTAAATGTCTAAACTGTTTACTATGACAAAAAGTTCAACCATACACAAAAGCAGATAGAGCAAGTAGCATAAAGAATGCAAATATAAGTATTGATCAGATTGAACACTTATCATTACATGGCCACTCTTATTTCATTTTATATTCTTACCCATTCCTCTTCTCATTTCTCTCTCTAAAAGATGACTTTAAAAATACATGCTCCAAGGGGTACCTCGGTGGCTCCGTTGGTTGGGCATCCAACTTCGGCTCAGGTCATGATCTCACGGTTCCTGGATTCAATCCCCATGTTGGGCTCAGTGCGGACAGCTAACTCAGATCCTGGAGCCTGTTTCCAGTTCTGTGTCTCTCTCTCTCTCTAAACCTCCCCTGCTCATGCTGTGTGTCGCTGTCACTCTCTAAGAAATAAATAATTATTTAAAAATTTTTTGAAAACAAAATACATGCTCCCAGGGGTAACTGAGCGGCTATGTCAGTGGAGCATTGGACTCTTTCTTCTTTTTAATGTTTATTTATTTTGAAATAGAGAGAGACACCTTGTGGACTCAATCTCAAGAACTGTTAGATCATGACCAGAGCCAAAATCAAGGGTCGAGTGCTTAGCCAACTGAGCCACCGAGGCGCCCCTACAGATTGTCTTTTAACAAGGGTAATACCTGTAGGAAATCAAGTCTGTTAGCTGCCACCGGGTTTCTTATTTATTTATTTGTATTTATTTTATTTCGGTTACTGTGACCTGATTTTATTGAATTCCATATTGTTTTTAATGGAGGAATCAGTGACATGCGATAGTGTATTCGTTTCAGGGGCACAACATACCGAATCCGTAGTTACCTACAGTACGACACGGCCACCACAATCCAACGGTGGTATTAGAATGGCCGTCAGGAGTGTCCCAAACTCTACCAGACCTGAGCACGCAGGAGCCGTGTCTGTGTGCCAAGCACTGAGCACTACAGGAAGGCGGTCTTCAACTGTGAGGACTGTATGCAGACATCAAAAATAAACCTGAAAGGAAACTTCATTGGGTTGAGACTTCATTTGAGGGCTAATCTAAGGGAAGGAAGAGTCCAGGGTACCCGTCTTGCAATACCTTTCTATTATTCATTCATTTATTCATTCATTCATTTATTTTTCATTCAGATTTTTACTTTACTTTTCTTTCTTTCTTTTTAATGAATTGATTGATTGATTTTTGAAATTCCATCCAAGTCAGTTAGCCTATAGCGCAACAGTGATTTCAGGAGTAGATTCCTTAATGCCCCTCACCCATTTAGCCCATCCCCCCTTCCACAGCCCCTCCAGCAACCCTGTGTGTGTTCACTATATTTCAGAGCCTCTTACGTTTTGTCCCCCTCCCTGTTTTTATATTCTTTTTGCTTCCCTTCCCTTATGTTCATGTATTTTGTATCTTAAAGTCCTCATATGAGTGATGTGACATGATCCTTGTCTTTCTCTGACTGCCTTCGCTCAGCGGGATACCTTCCAGGTCCCTCCATGTAGTTTGCGGTGCCCGTACGCGCCTGGTTCCCACTCAAGTGACTAGGTCTCCGTCAGATACGTCAAACAGCCTTATGCCCCTAAAAGGCAATAATAACTACAGTAAAATCATTGATACATCGTGCATTTATTTATTGTGTGTTCAATAAGTTGCTTCCAAGATGGCTAGGAGTAATCTCAATAATGATTGCAAGTAGATTTCCCACTGTCAGTGTTTTAAAAGACAGTGAGCATATAGTTGGTATAAGTTTGCTTCTTCACAGGTGGTTCTTATGTATATCGAGTCTTTAATTATCTTGGATGCCTTCAGGGATGGTCTCGTTGCCGGTCACGTTGCAAAGAATGGTGACCTCCCTATCACTGCCATCGTTCTCATAAGTCAAAACATCACTGTTGTTCTCAGTGGCACAGAAGACGTTGTCTCTGTAATCTGCCTTAAGAAAAGGCTGGGTAAAAGGCTTCCCTTCATTTGTAAAAAGTGGGTTTTGAGCATTTCTATTCTTTGCCTCCGAAATACTATTGAACAAAGGCTCAGAACTTCGACGAACAAGGCATTTTCTCTTATAGCATCGGCAAGCCTTGATTAATTGAGGCCTAAATAACATGTCTGCCCTACGCCCACAAACCGACCTTTTGAGTTTCCGATGTCTGAGGGATTTGTTTAGTGTCTGCACAGTGGAAGGCTTGGGTGAGGAGATGTGATTTTGTGGGTGGAGTGGACAGAGTGACTGGATGGGCATGACTACGTATTGCACATCTACTGGCCACGGTGGGCTCACTGCCTTCTTCGGATTGGATGAGGCTGCCTGACCAACTGGCCTATGGGCACAAACTGGCTGATAGGGCTTTCCCAGGTGGCGTGTTCTATAGGACTTTTCCAGGTGAAATGACTGGAATTTTTTGTCTGAGCATGATGGCCTTTTCCTTCCTCCACTTGATGGCTTGTTTGCCTTTGGTATACCAGGTGACAGACTTTGGTGTTGTGGACTCGAGGGCCTGATTAACCTTTCTGCACTGGAGGGTATGGAGGACTTTTCTGGACTTGAGACACTAGATAACTTGTGTGTACTAGATAGCAGGGATGGTTGTTCTCGACTACACGGATTGGGGGTCTTGGAGTCGCTGAATGACATTTTGGATGGTGGTCTGGCTGCCGGGGCTGTCACACCTTCTTTCTTGAGCCTGAAAACATAGAAAGTTTAGAATATGACAGTTTAAAAAAGAAGTACTATTGATATCACCAGAAGACCCAGGTACTATGTCAATTTAGACTTTGGTCTTTGTTTGTTTGTTTTTTCTTACTTCTAGCAGGAAAATTGGGCGCAGTAAGAATTGGAGTGCGGGGAAAGCCATGACTCTGGTTACAGATGTGAACTCATGCTGAACCCTCTCCTTTTTTTAAAGAGTATTTTACTTTTTCAGCCATGTTAGATAACCACATAGCCTACATACGGAAAAACACAGAGTGGTTTCAAGTCTACCGTTGAGAAGGACAGAGAGAATTTCACTTCGTCTAAGAATTAAACTTTACCAAAAGGTCACGAGTTGATAAGCAACTTCTACACAGCTGTCACAACGTGTCAGAAGATAAAAAGAAACTCTTTACCCAGAGTCACTCTTTCCTATCATGTTTACACCCTCGAGTTATCTATCCATGCCGATGTGTATTCACAATATCCCTGGAACACTGAAGGGATGGAGCACGGGTATATTGTAGTCATCAGTCCTTGTACTGGGAAAATTATAGGGAACTACTATATCGGGGCCAGCCTGATCCTCCTATGTGAAAGGCTGGGACTGCGATAATGAGAACACCAATGGTGAATAATGTTTCATGCCATTCAGTCTTCAAATGGTAGATTATCCAAGACATTGTATTGTTTTGGGAATGCAAAGACCCAACATCCTCTCCCTCCGCTTCGTTACTCTCAGGGTCTTTGTCAGATAGTCAAGCCCTCTTTTCCAAGACTCAATTGACAAAGAAATTAATAGCCTGGAGCTCAGCTGAACCCTCAATAGGAGATAGCTTTAGAATAGGCTCAACTGGTAATGTACTTGAGAATATTTCAGGGCGGATATTATTGAAGTGAAGGGAACCACCTACAAGATGAGCTCTGTAGAAGTCTAGGGTTCACACAAAGTAACCACAACAACAATGAAACCTCCACTCTACGTCTACACACATGTCGCATTCTTAATTTAAGGGTGTGAAACTTACGTTCCTGCCTTGGGCGCTTCATCAGCCGAACAGTTGTAATAGATGAAACAAAAGCAGATAGATGCAAAAGCTATAATCATAATGCCAATTGTGATAACCAGTAGACGTCTCCGCAAGCTCTCTAGTTTGGTGTCCATTGTTTCGAAGTGTTTAGCTCCTGTCAAAGAGATGATATCACCATAAAGTGTGTTAGATCACCCAGTTTTCTTCCATTTGATAGCCGTTTGCCACTCAAGGTCAAAATCCATTCTTTCCAGCAGTGATTCTTTTAAAGCCTGGGAATCGTTCCCCTGTTAGCTTCCTCCCTGTGTCACTGCCCCAGCCACCTTCTAGAAGGCAAATCTGGGAGTCATTTCTGGCTCCTCAGTACAATTACATGGGTTATCCCTGCGTCGTGCCTTGCCCACCCCAGTACCTAGGTTTCTGAGTGTGAATGTGTCTTGAGCATGTGAATGTACTTGAGTGTGAATGTGTGTGTGTGTGTGTGTGTGAATGTATGTGTATGGTGGCGAGGGGGATAGGGCCAGAAAAAACTCATGTTGAAGCCTACTCTGTGTGAAGCACCATGCCACACTGAGAGCAGATAGAGGGCAGATTGAGGGCAGAGGCTGGTGGACTGGGTGGGGAAGGGCAGTGAAGGCGGTCAATATGTCTGTACTCTTCATGCTTCTATGTTCCTTGGGTTTGTCACACAGGATTAAGTCTCTCAGGTACTTTCCTAGTAACACCCAACCAACAGCAGCTTTCTGAAACACAGCCTGCCTGTCTGGTTAAGTGCTCGAGTGTATATGATAGGATAGATCATAATTTCTCAAGGTTAAGGCTAGGCACATACCTGTAGTAGGAGATCCATCGCTTCGGTTTGTATCTAAACAACTGTTTGCCCAAACGAACAAAAGGAGGACATAAACACAAAGATTCATGTCCAGGGATTTGTTCAAATGTTTCTTCTACCAAGGAAACTACTGTATATGATGTGGCTCAGCCCGCTGTAGGGGTTTATGACATCATTACCATTTGTGACATCATGTGACAGCAGAATCTCAGCACGGAGAAGCATAGGCTTATGTGTATAAATGTTATCAAATGATTTTTAACAACTTATTTCTCCTTCCCATCAAATATTCTAACAAATTCAAGTCACAAATGTTGGGCGGGTCATTATTCCAAGCCCAGAGGGAGATATTGAGGGACGAGAGCGGAAAGGGGATTGCCTTAGATATTGAAGAGCTGTTTTTCCTTATTAAATGGTGAGGAGGCCCTCTGCAGCCTTGTGGTAGTAGTTGTTATGTGTTATAGGGGTTAACTCCTCCTGGACATAAGTCTCTAGAATCTGCTTCTTAATAAAATGAAGATATTACAAAGCGGCAGTCTTAAAAATAGTGTGGTCCTGGCATAAAAGTAGACACACAGATCCATGGAACAGAACAGGAGACCCAGAAGTAAACCCACGATTAGATGGTCAGTTGATCTTTGACAAAGGAGGAATGAAAATACAAAGGGAAAAAGACAGTATCTTCAACACATGGTGTGGGAAACTGGGACAGACACACGCCAACGGATGCACCTGGACCACTTTCGTACACCACACACGCAGAGAAACTCCAAACTGATTAAAGACCTAAACGTGAGACCTGAAACCATAAAAATCCTTGAAGAGGGCACGGGCCAAAATGCCTCTGACATGGGCCACAGCAACATTTTCCAGATATTTTCCTGATGCAAAGGAAATAAAAGCAAAAACAAACTATGGAGACTACATCAAAATAATGGCTTCTGCACACTGAAAGCGACAATCAACAAAACTGAAAGACAACCTACCGAATGGGAGAAGATATTTGCAAATGACAATGTTGATAAAGAGCCAGTATCCAAAAAATATAAGGAATTTGTACAAAGGAATTTAAAGAAAACAAGAAATCTAATTAGAATATGAGCAGAAGAAATAAACAGAAATTTCTCCAAAGAAAACATCCGGATGGCCCCCACACACATCAGAAGATGCTCAACATCACTCATCATCAGGGAACTGCAAATCAAAACTACAATGAGAGGGGCCTGGTTGGCTTAGTGCATTGAGTGTCTGACTTTTTCTCAGTTTATGATCTCATGATTCATGTGTTCAAGCCCTGGGTCAGGCTCTGGCCTACAGCCTAGAGCCTGGAGTCCACTTCAGATTCTGTGTCTCCCTCTCTCCTCCCCTCCCCTGTTCACGCTCTGTCTCTGTCTCTCAAAAGTTAGTAAACGTTAGAATATATTACAATGAAATATTACCGCATACCTGTCAGAATAGCTAAAATAAAAAACACAAGAAACAACAAATGTTGGTGAAGATGTGAATAAAAGTGAACCCTCTTGCATTGTAGGTGGGAATGCTAACTGGTGCAGCCCCTCTAGAAAACAGTATGGAGGGTCCTCAAAAAATTGAAAAAAAACCTACACTATGATCCAGCCATTGCTCTACTGGGTATTTACCCTCAAAATAAAGAAAACACTAATTCAAAGGGATACATGAACCCTTATGTTTTTAAGAGCATTATCACCTAGAGCGAAACTACAGAGACAGCCCAAATATTCATCAACTGATGAATGGTTAAAGAAGAGGTAGTATATATAGAATATTACTCAGCAGTCAAAAGGAATGAAATCTTGCAATTTGCAATGACATGGATGGAGCTAGAGTGTATTATGCTAAGCACAGTAAGTCAATCAGGGAAAGACAAATACCATATGATTTCATTCATATGTAGACTTTAAGAAACAAAACAAACGTACAAAGAAAAGGAAGCAACGTAAAAAACATACTCCGAATGACAGAGAACAGATCATGGTTACCAGTAGGGAGGTAGGTGGAGGGACGAAAATTAAAGAGTACACTTACATTGGTGAAGAAAAATGATAAAAAAGGATGAAAAGAAATTAGCAATTACAATTCAAAACAAGGTTTTGTATGATACAGAGAATCTCATCTTTTCCTCAAGATCTCGTCATCTTTTCATTGTCAACTATGAAGTTTCAGAATGCCCCAAACTATTCTTTTATAATACAATAACTGTTATTTTACTTAAAGATAAATTATAATGATTAGTGTAGTTAATATAAGGATGTAAAGATTAGAACTTGGTGTTTTGTGTTTCTTTAAAGATTTTATTTTTAAGTAATCTCTCCACCCAACATGGGGCTCAAACTCACAAGCCCAAGATCAAGATTTGCATGTTCTTCCGACCAAGCTAGCCAGGCACCCCTAGACCTTGGTGTTCTTAATGCTTTGAAATTAATGTTGAAAACCTGGAATTCATTCTTTTGGTTAACTTGACTGCTACACTGAGCATACCTTTGTGTATTGTTCCCTTAAAATGTTTAGTTTTTGGATGTTGATTAGAAGCTTTTTGTGTTCAACTCCTCTATTATTTTTTCAAAACTTTTTAAATGTTTATTTTTGAGAGAGATAGAGAGACAGAGTGCAAGTGGGGAGGGGCAGAGAGACACAGAATCCGAGGCAAGCTCCAGGCTCTGAGCTGTCGGCACAGAGCCCGATGCTGGGCTTGAACCCACCACCTGTGAGATGACCTGAACCGAAGTCAGACTCTCAACTGATTGAGCCACCCGGGCACCCCACAACTCCTCTATTATTAATTTTCAAGTGTTATTTGCATATTATTATGGTGCTCATCTTACCTTGGTTCCGTGAGCTGTCCTCTCTCTGTTTATTAAATTTACCAATTGACAGAATGAACACCAGGTATATCAGAGAGGTGCCTTTGTTCTGTGTGATTACTGCGCAAAGCAGCTTAGGCTGCTGTCACAAGCATCCAGAATAAAACCTGGCTCTGCTCAGGAGTAAAACTTTCGGGGCAAACATAACCCTCCCCAGGGTAGCTATCTATATTTTCCAATGTACAAGTCCCAAAATACACTATTTAAAAGGCAATTTAATATTTTGGCAAAAAAAAATGAATATTGCAGAGGGAATGAGTCTTGTCAATCATCCTAAGCCATATTTCCTACTCACAAATTTTAAGTTTTCAAATAAAATAATTAAAATTAACTTCTGGGGCAACTGGGTGGCTCAGTTGGTTGAGCGTCCAACTTCAGCTCAGGTCATGATCTCTTGGTTTGTGAGTTCAGACACCACAACTGCTGTCAGCACAGAGCAAACTTTCGATCCTCTGTCTCCCTCTCTGTATCCCTCCTCCACTTGTTCTCTCTCTTTCTCTCAAAAATAAATAAATAAATAAACAGAGCCAACTTTCGATCCTCTGTCTCCCTCTCTGTATCCCTCCTCCACTTGTTCTCTCTCTTTCTCTCAAAAATAAATAAATAAATAAATAAACAAACAAACATTAAAAAAATTAGGGGCACCTGGGTGGCTCAGTCGGTTAAGCGTCTGACTTCAGCTCAGGTCATGATCTCACAGTTCATGGGTTCGAGCCCTGCATCAGGCTCTGTGCTGACAGCCAGCTCAGAGCCTGGAGCCTGTTTCAGATTCTGTGTCTCCCACTCTCTCTGAACCTTCACTGCTCACGCTGTCTCTCTCTCTCTCTCTGTCAGAAATAAATAAAACATTTTTTAAAAAACTTAAAAAAATTAACTTTCCCCACCTTACACTTTGGTAACCTTATATACATCAGAAGAACATTAAGATTTGAATAGTCCCTTAACCTTTTTATTGAGCTGCTGCTAACCATCAGGGTGAAACTCAGTGTAATCATTCATTGATTCAGCAAACATTTATGGAGTCCTCCTCCAATGTCCGACACCATGCTTAATGCTGTAGATCCCAAAATAGGCCAGATAAAAATTCCTGTACCCTTGGAACTTCTAGTCAAGTAGAGAATACAAGTAATTACAAGATAGTGTGAAGTGGGCTATATGAAGACTAAGCACAGTGCTTGGGGAGAGAAAGATCATTCTAACAATGATTGGAAAGAATGGATTAGAAGGGAACTCAGTCAGTTGGTGGAGGGAGCACTTAAGAAGAACGGAAAAGATGGTTACCAAATTGAGGTACTGAAGGTGGAAATAAATAGATGAACTTGTAGAAATATCATAAAGGTCAGGGTGCCAGGGTGGCTCAGTTGGTTGAGCGTCCAACTCTTGATTGTGGCTCAAGTGATGATCTTACGCCTGTGAGATCGAGCCCCATGTCTGGCTCTGTGCTGTCAGCATGGAGCCTGCCTGGGATTCTCTCTCTCTCCTCTCTCTGCCCTTCCCCCTTTCTCAAAAGAGAAACAAGAAATATTAAAGAGGTTGAATTGAACATTAAAGAAGTTGAAGGAATTGTCAATTCCTTCCTTTACTGTTCCAGTGGAGGAAAACGAAGAGTTGAGAATAGCTTAGAATTCTGACTCAAACAACTGAGTAACTACTGGTCCTATTCATTGAGACAGAGGACAGATAAAGTTGGAGCTTTGAAGAGAATGAGAGTGGTAGAAGTTAACGAGTTCAATTTGGGTGATGTTGAGGTAAGGTTCTTAAGAGATATCTAAGTAAACGTGTCCGAAAGCCAGTTTAAGTATATGAACTTGAAGTTCAGAAGATGGATTCAGGGTGGCAGTCATCAGAATCTAGAACAAGGCTTCATAACACTTTTTGTGCCATTGGCAGTGTGGCGAAGCCTGAGGACCCCATCTCAGAAAAATATTTTTAAGTGTACAGAATGAAATGCATAGAATTATAAAGGAAGTGAATTATACGAAAATAGTTATCTCATACAAAGTTTGTGATGTAGTAATGTATGTAATTATTGACTCATTAAAGAGATCTAGAGGTGGATCTAATAACTACTATAAACTGAAATAATGATAAGCATAAACAGTATTTTGAGATATTTCCACAAGTATAATATATTGAACTAGAGGCTCCTGGGTGGCTCGGTTGGTAGAGCGTCCGGCTTCGGCTCAGGTCAGGATCTCACAGTTCAC